CCCAAAGCATACAAGTAATTCAACAAAACAATGGCTGCAACAGCACAGAATACACCTTCTAGAGTGGCCCAGTCAGAGTCCTGACCTCAACCCGATTGAAATGCTGTGGCATGACCTTAAGAGAGCGATTCACACCAGACATCCCAAGAATATTGCTACACTGAAACAGTTTTGTGAAGAGGAGTGGTCCAAAATTACTCCAGATCGTTGTGCAGGTCTGATCTGCAACTACAGGAAACATTTGGTTGAGGTAATTGCTGCCAAAGGAGGGTCAACCAGTTATTAAGTCCACAGGTTCACATACTTTTTCCTCCCTGCACTCTGAATGTTTACATGTTATGTGCAATTAAACCACGGCAACGTCTAATGTTTGTGTAGTATTATGTTCAGCAGACTGTGTTCTTCTATTGTTGTGACTTAGATGACATTCAGAGCACATTTTATGCCCAATTCATGCAAAACTCCACGTAATCCCAAGGGGTTCACATACTTTTTCTTGCAACTGTAATTAGGAACGGGGCATTCATCTATTATGGGCATGGCTCTACAAGAAGCAGGTTAAGGAAAAGAGTGGGCATGGCTTAAAGGGTGTGTAGTTAAAAAGTGCCTAAGATGACTTACATGGTGCAAAATGTGATAATGTTAAATAGGGAATGTGCAATGTAGAATGAGGGAGGACGGAGGTGTGTGTGCGTGCGATGGAGAGAAGTGTGCGTAGGATGAAGATGACCGACAGCCATCCCCAGGAGATAGAAACCCCAAATGGCTGCTTGCTCCCCACCCCAAAAAAAAAAAAAAAAACACACAAAACAGTGTCTAGGCATCATGATCTTCCCCAGAGATGGAGATGCACACAGCCCAAATTTCAGTACGGAATATACTGCACCTCTACTCGGGTCCACTCTAGCCTCACGTGTTGCAGTTCAAAGCTCAAGGCGGGTTGGCATATTCATCTTCACACCTCTAAGGCTGGCCACACCTCCTCTGAGTCCGACCCAATCAATAAGAGAAATAAAAACGAGAAGCGCACAAACCTTGCGCATTACCTCAGTAAACAGAAATTTATTAAAAAGAAAGGTACTCACAAACAGCGAATAAAATCAGGCATGTAAGTCCTCACAGGGACTTCAGAGATAGAGGGCCAGCGCGAGTCCCATCGTGGGGGTAAGCACTCAGGTCATCTGACGCGTTTCGAAGGCCAGACCTTCTTCATCAGAGCTCTGATGAAGAAGGTCTGGCCTTCGAAACGCATCAGCTGAACTGAGTGCTTACCCCCACGAAGGGACTCGCGCTGGCCCTCTATCTCTGAAGTCCCTGTGAGGACTTACATGCCTGATTTTATTCGCTGTTTGTGAGTACCTTTCTTTTTAATAAATTTCTGTTTACTGAGGTAATGCGCAAGGTTTGTGCGCTTCTCGTTTTTATTTTGCTTTGCAGTGTTGGTCGGGTTTCCCCAGCCTTGTTTGGAGCTGCACAACCTTTGAAGCACTGGTGGCCGCTGTTTTTCTAGTTCTGGTTCCATCTATTTGCCACCTGCCTGGGTCCTAGAGCACAGAAGAATTCGTGTTTGGCCAATCAATAAGAGGCAAGCTCCATCTGAGCTCCTTGCATTGGTGCATGAGGGTCCTGGACAGGGGCAGACTGACAACTCATGGGGCCCACGGGCAATAGGGGATCATGGGGCCCCTGTGTCCTTGCCCAAACTCAAAAAAGCCTATGAAAAAAAAAAAAAAAAAAAAAAAAAAAAAAAAAAAAAAAAAAAAAAAAAAGGTACCAGGGGCATCTCATGGGGCCCCCTACTGACCCCGGGCAGTGCCCGAGTTTCCAAATGGTCAGTCTGCCCCTGGTCCTGGATACTGGAGCCACGTGAGTCGCTCAGCGTCTGGGGGGAAAGGTAGGGCCAGGAGAGGGATCTGATCTGTGTCTCCAGCAGTGTGTACCACATCAACTCAAGTTTGTTTTACGTGCAACCAGCCCCACAGATGTCCGTGACAAATGGTGATTTTTGGGACTCAGCCCTGGACAAGAAAATTTAGTGACAGCTGCTAAGAATTTGTGAGTGTCCCAGGCATTTCAGGATTGTTGGCAACTCCTGCTGCCCCTCCTGCCCAAGTGTAAAACTGAATGGTGACAGGGAGCCCACACAGGCCCCCTGGAGCATGGTTCAGGGGTTGCCAGTGAGACTGCTAATGCAACACCAGTGGTTTTACCACCCCCAACCTGCAAATGTAAGTGAGCCCTTACTTTCCTGAGCCCCCTAGAAGGCTGCTTTCACAAAGATGTGCTGCAGTTTACCCAATTTCTGAAAGCACATCAAATCTGCAGATCAAAATAGATGTCTATGGCTCAGTGCAGCCAACCTGCAGATGCACTGCATTGCACCCGCAGATCAGTGTGACAGTAGCCTAATAGTTAACTCTTTTATAGGTGCGAATATACCCATTGCAAAAGCACAGTACGTGTTTAATAAATTGACCTTTTCCTCTTCCAGCTTCTTCTGGCATCGCTCTCCATCTCCAGGCTGTTCCAGGCGAAGTGCACTAGGTATCACTCTGCCTGGGACAGGAGCTGGCACTACAGAGGAAGCATCGGCTACTGCTCCCTCCTTGGCCATCTGCTTCCTCCACCGATGATGATGGCTCAATGTACAGTACTCCGATACTCTGGGATGGCCGGTTGACAACAGAAACAAGCACATTCTCTGGGTTGAGGTTGTGGGCCACATCAGAGGGCCTCACGGGTCATGGGTTGAGCACCCCTGCCTTAGGATCATTCCAGCAATCCCATCTGCATTTCCTTTATGCAAGTGTCTACAATTCATTCTGCTCCCAATATCCCCATTTGTAGTCACACATTCCAAGCATAGAATGTTAGTTATGATAAAGATTGAGGGTAAATTCACACCTAATGCAGTGGGACTGCATTGGGTAGCTATTCCATGCAGTCCCACTGCATGGACAAGGTGAAAATGCCTCATATCCCTGTTCACACCACTGCATTGGGGTTGTGGGCAAGCATGCATGGTGCACAGAGAAAAAAATTACTGCATGCAGCACTTTTTCTCAGCACAATGTGGTGGGAGGCAATCCACTGCTTTGCACTGCACGGTCGGCAATTGAACTTCATGGGATGTCTTTGACATCTTAATAAAGTTTGTTAAAAAAGAAAAGAAAGAAAACCGTGCGATCTGCCGGATCACACTGCACACCAGCTACTGCTGTGGACGAGCCTGAAAGGACATCTCTAGCAACCCTACAGATTGTGTCCCCCTGCTGGTCACTGGATAGTGCAGACTTTAGTGGTGCTGATTGGTTGATTGACTATTGATCCAAAAGCAGGTCTGATAAAAATGTAATTAAAAAAAAAAAAAAATAAATTATATAATAATAATTATTATGGGAACACTGCATAGCTATATTATGAACCATCCGGTGGCCAGATCCCTCCTTGAACACCTTTTACATGTCTAAAGGTTACCCAGGGAAGTGTTTGTTCACTTTTGCATTCAGCAGAAGCTGACATATAAATTTCCCCTGTTGGCTGAACAGAAAAAAAAAAAAAAAAAAAAAAAAAAAAAAAACTTCTAGAACCATATTTTATTTATACAAAATAATAAAATTCACAAACAGACAAAATATGGCGATTATACATTACATATCTGTTACAATAAATGCATAGGTGGGGCAGATGAGATTGCAAGCATTTGACACATTTCGAGACGACAGACAATCTCTTCTTTATAAACAATTTTGAGGAAATAAAACAATATTTTTGACTTTTTGCTGTTAAACATATCCAGTTAAAAAAACAAAAAAAACATTTGTCATAAAATTAGGCCAAAATGTAGTCTGTGACATGTCTTTGCTAAAACAAAAAATCCCAATATGTGTAAATTGGCTTATGTGAAAGTTATAGTGTTTATAAATGGCAATATAGATACTGAAATCATTTTTTTCTTTTTCTACTAGTAATGGTGGTGATCAGCGCCTTATAGCGGGACTGCGGCAGACCTTCTGACACTGGGGAGTGCCGACTTGGTGTCACTGACACCAATACAGTGATCAGTGCTAGAAGAAGAAAAAAACAAACAAAAAAAAAAAAAAAAACACAGACACTGTACTAATGGCACTGGGCAGGAAGGGGTTAACATGAGGGGCGATCAAAGGCTTGACTGTGTGCTGGGAGTGTTTTACTAGGGGGCAGTGTCTGTTCTTCACTGTAAGCACACTGCTCTGTGCACAGCCATCTAGAGCAGTGTGCCCCAGCTAACAGGGAGAACTGTTAGTCTCCCTGTCAGTAATCACCGGGCGCTGGCGGGTAATCACCGTCCTGGACCCAGAGATTGACAGCCATGGCCGCAAATGGCAGACACGGGTAGAGTGCACGCCCCCTACACGGAAATGCAAAATCACTTATATACATGTGATTTTGTGCACCCCTGCCTCCCTGTATATCTGCTATAGGGTGGCGGGAAAGCGGTTAATTAATTTCAATGGCCAGAATGTATTATTATGGCAAATGATAGTGCTTTAATGCATTTGCATACATCAAGCATTTTTTTTCCCTGCCAAAACGCTGCCGCCAAGAGTACGTCTAGGAGACGTGACCAAAGCATACAGTGCACATGGGGCCCAACTACAGTGGGTTTTAACCATCTCTCTGAAAGTTACAGTATATGCTTTCTGCTCAAGGGACTTACAGTATATAAATAACCCCAATGGCTTACCATATTTTTCACTTCATAAGATGCAGTTTTGTACTCCCCCCAAAAAAATGGGGGGAAATGTCTATACGTATTATGAAGCGAATATTGACCAGGCCTCCTCCCCCATCACCGCCGCTGTGTTAGAATACTGGGCCAGCCAGCAGGGAGGGGGCGGGGGCCAGATCTGGAAGCTCCACTGACCCCCCCCCATGCAGTCTTTATGCTCGAGAGGGAGCTGCTGTAGTAGAAGTTGTAATGTGAGTGGGAGCCCCGCCCCCGGACCTCAGAGAGGATGCTGAACATGGCTGGCCAGGTATGTCCTTCCCCCCATAGACTACCCGTGGACTGTTATACCAAACCTTCAGCTGTTTTTCTCAAACTGTACATTGCTGAAAGAACTCTGGTCATCTCCTGTACTGTGTCCGCAGTCTGTGGTCATCTCCTGTACTGTGTCCGCAGTCTCTGGTCATCCCCTGCACTGTGTCCGCAGTCTCTGGTCATCCCCTGTACCGTGTCCGCAGTCTCTGGTCATCCCCTGTACCGTGTCCGCAGTCTCTGGTCATCCCCTGTACCGTGTCCGCAGTCTCTGGTCATCCCCTGTACCGTGTCCGCAGTCTCTGGTCATCCCCTGTACCGTGTCCGCAGTCTCTGGTCATCCCCTGTACCGTGTCCGCAGTCTCTGGTCATCCCCTGTACCGTGTCCGCAGTCTCTGGTCTCCCCTGTACCGTGTCCGCAGTCTCTGGTCATCCCCTGTACCGTGTCCGCAGTCTCTGGTCATCCCCTGTACCGTGTCCGCAGTCTCTGGTCATCCCCTGTACCGTGTCCGCAGTCTCTGGTCATCCCCTGTACCATGTCCGCAGTCTCTGGTCATCCCCTGTACCGTGTCCGCAGTCTCTGGTCATCCCCTGTACCGTGTCCGCAGTCTCTGGTCATCCCCTGTACCGTGTCCGCAGTCTCTGGTCATCTCCTGTACCGTGTCCGCAGTCTCTGGTCATCTCCTGTACTGTGTCCGCAGTCTCTGGTCATCCCCTGTACTGTGTCCGCAGTCTCTGGTCATCTCCTGTACTGTGTCCGCAGTCTCTGGTCATCTCCTGTACCGTGTCCGCAGTCTCTGGTCATCCCCTGTACCGTGTCCGCAGTCTCTGGTCATCCCCTGTACCGTGTCCGCAGTCCGTCATCCCCTGTACCGTGTCCGCAGTCTCTGGTCATCTCCTGAAGTCTTGGTTCAGAGTATTTTTTTTTTCCTCCTCTAGAACCTAGGTGCGCCTTATGGAGCAAAAGTTAATATACAGATTTCAGTCATCCGCTAAGATTGTGTATTTAAAGTGTTTACGCTAAACTTCTGGCTTAGTCCTCCCTAAACATTGATAAGGGAATTGTAGAAAGACAGAATTGCAGGCGTTTCCATCTGTGGATTATTGAAAAGACTAATTATGTTCTTACAAAGGGTTGTGGGAGAGGCAAGAGACAGATTGCATGCATTTTATACTATTTCAGCAGCTCAGTAACGGATGTCCACATTGTACGTAGTTATGGTTTTCTCTTTCACCATGTCTGTCAATTTTACCGTGAAAGAAAAAAAAAAATAAAAAAAAAATCACACACACACGTGGCTAAGTACAAGAGAAAAATCACCTTTATGCAGCTTTCCCAAAACATAATAAAATTATTTCAGGTATACTTTGGTGTAAATGTGTACCATAATTTGTTAAAGGTTTTATTTTGATCCTGTGAAGTTAAAGTGGTTGTAAACCACTACATATACCCAGTGAAGTGACTGGCCACAGGTGATACACAGATATTAAACAAATCCTCCTACACAAGGTATACCTGTTTATCTGCAGCCCTCTGTTCCTCTACAGTCTTGTAAAACACACAGATGAAAGGGTTTATATTCTCAGCAGCGGAAAGCAGGGAACAGAGATATGATGACACACACAGACACACACACACACCTCAGTGCAATCTGAGCTCTGATTCGAGAAAAAGGGACACCCCCCCCCTCCTTGCAGCAAACAAAGCATAACTGAAGCGTCCAATCATAGGCTGTGTGCTGGAGCTCCCTCACTCATTTCACTCTCGGAGTTAGGAAAACCTGTCAGAAGTGACCATTGAAGATAGCAGGAACAAGGCAGCAGAGAGGAGAAAAAGAAAAATCAGACAGTGCTTTGAATTGAGAAAGCCACAAACGATAGAAGAACATGATTTGTTCATCTTTCATGTCAGAGGTTTACAATTACTATAAGTGTGCATATCGCTTAGCTCTCCCGAACTGTTTGGTGCAACACAAATTTCCCACACCTAATACATCTCCAGTGTACACCCAAGTCCAGCTACAAGCACATCTTTCATAAGCAACAATGACGACAGTTTTGTCTGCTATCACTGTCCCAAAATCACCTTTTTGATTTATTTGAAACGCAAACAACTGTTTGGTTTGAAACACATGCAGTGAAACAAAAATGGTTGATTTCTGGGGAACGGAAGCATCCTTAAAGCATAGGTAAAGCCCAACAACGATCTTCTTGTGTTTTCTCTCTTATGGATTGCTAAATAAACCAATAAAATGCTTTACTAGATTATTTCAATAAATGCAAAAAAATGACTGCTGATCCTAACAGGATTCCAATGTTGTCCCTTATATTCTGCAGTCTTATTTCAAACAATTTTATTAGGTAGTTTTAGGACTTTGGAACACCAGCCCACTTTTAATGGAGAAGAGGGGAGGGGCAGGTGTTCTGTAGTCTTAACACTTCCTGTTCTAGACTGACAGTGGTGCTCCTCCATTGAAACAGTACAGCGAGTGGGCATTATCACCCTAGGAGAAGAAGTGTGTTACTACCAAGAAAGTGACATTAAAAACAAACAAAAAAACAAAACCCCCACAACACACACACACACACCACACCACCAAGCACTAGTATATTGCAGTATATACATTTTTTGTTCTTGAGTTTACATATACTTTAACTAGCCTTCAAAATGTTTTCAACATGCCTCAAAATTTCTGATTGACAATATTCCCTTTTGGTGTTCACACTAATTTTTTGCTTGTTGATTGTCATCAAGCCCAATTAAATTCCAATAACTACTGTATTTGACCAATCCAGAAAGTATTAAAGGGGAAGTTCCACTCTTCTGCCCCCTTCCTTTTCTACTTTTGGCACATTTTGTATTTTGGGGGGCGAGGTACCTGGATTTGACAGGTACTCGCAACCACTTCTGCTTGGATCGCCTAGGCCAGTGGTGGGCAACCTTTTCTTTCAACTGAGCCAAATCTCGCCAAAACCACAATTGAAATTTATTTTGAGAGCCACATTTTTAAAACTGAAAATACATCCCCCATATAGTAATTCATCCCCCATAGTAATTCATCCCCCATAGTAATTCATCCCCCCTATAGCAATTCATCCCCCCTATAGTAATTCATCCCCCCTATAGTAATTCATTCCCCATATTGTGTCAATTTACTTACCTTTGCTCCGCGCGTTCCTCTCGCCGTGTTCCCGCGCCGTTCCGGTTTTCAGGGTGGACTGTGAGAGGAGAGGAGTTCGTCACGCTGCCCCGCCTACATTCTGACAGCCAATGTTTGCCACGCTCCGCGGGATTAAAAGGTCCGCCGGGCTGTATACGGCCCGCGGGCCGTAGTTTGCCCATTGCTGGGCTAGCTGCAGAGTCCTGACTTTTGGGGCGGCCGCCCGAGAGGAGGGGAGGGGAGCGGGCGCCCGGCACACAGAAGAGCCGCATTAAAATGTGTAAAGAGGCGCATGTGGCTCGCGAGCCGCGGCTTGCCGACCACTGGCCTAGGCAATCCAAGTGGAAATTGCCCCCTCCCTCCCTGCAGCTTTCTGGGATTCATCATAGGTCCCAGAAGGCTGAGGGACCATTCGCAAAGGCCAGTGTGGCTCACACATGGGCAGTGGGAAGTCAGCTGTGAAGCCGCAAAGAGTCACAACCGGCATCCCACACTAAATATGCTGGGGACCCGAAGACAGGTGAAGAACTAGCCCGGTTGAGGATGGCACTGGATCCCGGAACAAGTAAGTCACCTTTTATTAGATTAGATTTGTCAGATTAAAGAATTGCTTTAAGCTATGTATTTCTTGATGAACCTAAACAAAGAGGTCTTTGAAGAAACAATAGCTAGGTGGTTATTCAAATGATTGGCTATTCACCCAATGTAACATGTGTTTCCATCCATATTTAACCACCAAATAAAAGCAAAATTCATAATCTGCCAAAAAATTAAAGAATGATTACAAAGACCTGGTAAATTTGCCAAAAAAGTTACAACCCTCTCCCATCAAAAAAAAATAAAAAATAAAATGCCAGAAATGGACCAATGAGCCAGATTTAGCAGAAATGGGCTATGCCATTCACTCCAGAGACGTGATCAAAGAGCCAATTTACTATGTGTGACTGTCATTTAAGGGCATGTATGGTCATCCAAAGTACCTGTCTAAGCTCAGGATGAGGTGGAAAACATGGATGGATATTTTTGTCTCGGGATATCATGAAACTCTACATTGTTATTTTGGGCAAATAAAACTTTTTCAGATGCTTAGTGCCCATATCTACAGTATAATGTCACGGTATCTCAGTCCATCAAAAGGAAATGCAATTCTTCTTTAACCACATAAGAGTACAAAATCTATAAAAGAAAAAGCATCCAACAAGTAAAAACACAATATTTGTATTGGCGTTACACCTTTCCCCTAAAACTTGCCTACATGATCTAATGATCTACACACTAGACAGCATTTCAAAGCCGCCTATATTGTCATTGGCTTCTGCAATCCGAGCTGGTTTCTTTTTCTTTGTGCTTGGGGTTACACTGGTATGGCCAAAACATACATCATAGAAAGAAAGTTCACATCAGAGAGGGAAACTAGACACTTGAATCCACCCATTTAATTGTTCCGTGGCAAGGCAAACAACCTCTTATATCAAACAAGGCAACTGATTCAATTTTTCACACTCTAAGCAATATGGTACCTATTAGCTTTCCCACTGCCTGCCATGATACTTCGGGAGTTACTTGTAAAAATATCTAAATTTATTTATTGTTGTGAATTTAAAAAACAGAGCTCAGGGATGAGCTTATTGGTACTCCATTGCTGTCTAATCACACATATGCATGGATTGCAATGGAGAAAATAAATAGTCTGGACATTATATAGTCCCTGTCAGGACTGCAAATTGGCTGAAAAGAATTACAAATGTGTTTGGTAGGATAAGACAAATTAGCACATCAGCATTTTAATTAATGGACTATAAATTGGGAAAAATGATCTCTTCTTGCCTGAAGCTCCCTGTAATGGTGGACTACAGCATATGCTGCAGAAAGAGAAGAAACAAAACAGCCTGGGTTGAGGCTTGAAGACATTGGGGTAAATTTACTAAAACTGGTGCACTCAAGAGTCTGGTGCAGCTGTGCATGGTAGCCAATTGGCTTCTGGCTTCAACTTGTTTAATCAAGTTTTGGCAATAAAATCTGGAAGCCGATTGGTTTCTACGCAGAGTTGCACCAGATTTTGCACTTTTCAGTTCTATAAAGCATATAGATGTTAAAAGTAGACTTATTCCTTCCTTTTCAGTTAATGCCTGACAATGAACCACCACAAACTCCTTATTTCTCTTCCAACTGTAATTCCTAACTTGGTTCCTGCCTCTTCACATCTCAGGGTGTGTTTTTTGTTGTTTTTACAAATTTTTACTACATCTAATGCATTTTTCAAAATGAAGAAACCGATTAGATCAAGAATAGGACCACTTTGCAGCAAGACAGCAGACCTGGCTACTCAAACACAAAAGCTGTAAATAAAAATGTTTAAGGCATCTTTGTAACGTACATGCTTTGGGGGAGGGGGGGGGGGGCTTACCTTTTTAATTTGCAGTGCGTGCAGG